ACTATCAATTAACAAACTCAACTCCTTTTCATAATAACTATAACTTTAATATCTAAGTAAATATAATAAACATCCTATCACTCCAAGGTTCCACTCAAGACTGCCGCACTACTAAAACATACGTCACAACACCGCATAGACAATACGTCACGACTCAGCATAAAAATACGTCATAAAGACAATGGCGGTAAGAGCGTTCACTAACTATAATAGTCAAGCGCGGGAAAAGCGTTCAACAACTAATGAACATAATATTGAGTCGCAACAATTCCTAATGAACGCTCATACTCGACATTCTCGTATGTAGTTTTTGTAATGTTGCCTTTTGTATTTCAACATGGTAAAATATAGATTTTTTCATTTCTCTTTTTATATGGTTGGCTTTGTACCGCTCTTCGAGCATTTGGAAATGAAGCGTGATTTTCAAATAAGCTTTATTATTATTATTATCTTGTGTACATCTTGTGCACACCTTGAGCACATCTTGTATACATCTTGTGTACATCTTGTGCACACCTTGTGCACATCTAATTACAAGTCCCACCGTTGCTCGAGATTGTGTCCTCTAACATTCCTCTAATTGATTATAGCCCCCCCCTCCCCGCCCACCGACCCAAAATGACAAGACACGGAATGTCCTTGACCTTTGAGGCACAACGTTCAAACTCAAACGGCAACCAGAGCTAATCTCCTGCAGTGTACACGCGGATCAGATGACCTGGAGGCAACTGGGGGATGCTCAACGCTGGCCTAAATCAGTCGACCCGCAAACTTGGTGTCGGTTCAGACAGACACATTTCTCGGCACACCGCTAAAAGCTTTCTCTACATGTAGACAGACAGCAACCGCTTTGAAACATGGGGCGGTTCAGGTCTGGCAAGAATGGCTTCAACGCCGATTTGATGAAATTGCTGTGTCATCATTGAAGACACTGGTAATGATCGGGGGTGGAGTTCTGGGCAAGAAGTGAAGGAACGCGTCCAAGCTCCCACCTCCCCTCGAGAGAAGTACAGGAACGCATTTCTTGCGGGACTCGACACCTGGTACAGAGTCCGTAAACTTAAGGATGATGTCTAACTAAATGTAATTCTCCCCCACACATATTCAGTCATAGGTCGGCTATGCCCCCCCCCCAAACGCAGACATATTCAGTCGTAGGTCATCCAAGCTCCCACCTCCCCTCGAGAGAAGTACAGGAACGCCTTTCTTGCGGGACTCGACACCTGGTAAAGAGTCCGTAAACTTAAGGATGATGTCTAACTAAATGTAATTCTCCCCCCCACATATTCAGTCATAGGTCGGCTATGCCCCCCCCCCCCAAACGCAGACATATTCAGTCGTAGGTCAGCTTTTGCTCCCCTGCCCCACACACGCACACATATTCAGTCATATATGCCAGCTCCCAAGGAGCAGTCCCCAGCTTTAGTACCGTGAGATCTGCCCATGATTACCGTGTGATCTGCCCATGATTACTGTGTGATCTTCCCATGATTACTTTGAGATCTTCCCATGATTACCGTGTGATCTGCCAATGATAACCGTGTCATCTGCCCATAATTACCGTGTGATCTGCCCATGATTACTGTGTGATCTTCCCATGATTACTTTGAGATCTTCCCATGATTACCGTGTGATCTGCCAATGATAACCGTGAAATCTTCCCATGATTAGCTTGTGATCTGCTCATGATTACCCTGTGATCTGGCCGTGATTACCGTGAGATCTGCCATGATTGCCGTGAGATCTGCCCATGATTACCGTGAGATCTGCCCATGAATACCGTGTCATCTGCCCATAATTACCGTGAGATCTGTCTATGATTACCGTGAGATCTGCCCATGATTACAGGGACATCTGCCCATAATTACCGTGAGATCTGCCCATGATTACTGTGAGATCTGCCCATGATTATCGTGAGATTTGCCCATGATTAGCGTGTCGTCTGCCCATAATTACCGTGTCATTTCCCATGATTACCTTGAGATCTGCCCTTGATTACCGTGAGATCTTCCCATGATTACCGTGAGATCTGCCCATGTTTACCGTGTGATCTGCCCATGATTACTGTGTGATCTGCCCATGATTTACCGTGTAATCTGTCCATGATTACCATGTCATCTTCCCATGAATCTCGTGAGATCTGCCCATGATTACCGTGAGATATGCCCATAATTACATTGAGATCTGCCCTTGATTACCGTGATATCCTCCCATGATTACCGTGAGATATGCCCATGATTACCGTGAGATCTGCCCATGTTTACCGTGTGATCTGCCCATGATTACCGTGTGATCTGCCCATGATTACCGTGTAATCTGTCCATGATTACCATGTCATCTTCCCATGAATCTCGTGAGATCTGCCCATGATTACCGTGAGATCTTCCCATGATTACCTTGAGATCTGCCCTTGATTACCGTGAGATCTGCCCATGATACAGAAGTTGGTAGACGCCCAAAGTGACTCGGCGCTCGAGGTCGGTCTAAGAGAGTCCCAGCATTGTGCAGGCAGAGAACTGTGCCAACAAGTCACGTCATAAAATTAACATACTTCCCTGACTTTCCTTCTTCTCCCTGGTCAACTAGTGCTAGCAACGTGACTCTACAAACACACACACACACAGATGTCACAAACAGCCATTTTGATAAGTGACAACAGCCACACTAAAAGCCGGGAATACCCCCCCCCACCACTTTTTTTTGGTTTAATTTCTATGAGACTAAAGAAATTCGTCGGCGCCAAATTGCCAAATTGGCCGTGAAATCTTTTATAGCGCCGAGACAAAGATTGCCCAGTTGAACGCGTGCACGTCTTTATGTCGTGCGCCACAAAACTGTTGTCATCGTTGATATTCTTGATAGGTTAATTATAGAAACTTGCCGCCAAGCACCTCGCCATATGTGCAGCTGTTATTTCAATACATCAATAAAAATTGCCATTGAAATCATTAATGGCGACGTTTTCCAGGCATGTCGCATAGGGCGGGTATTAAAATTATAAAAAAAAAAAATGTCGGTTGAATGTGGTTGAGATTATAGAGGGCCAGAGTTGTTCCCATGTCACAAAGCAGGGGGAAAAAAATGTGTGAACCAAATGGACCGAATGTCCATTCAAATCTCAGCGGAAAATTTACAATCAAAGTCGTACTGTATTATGCATGAAGGAATGGATTGATCCTGTGTAAAGCTTATGTCACTGGGTCACGATTTACAGAAGGCGGCCAAGGAACATGGGCGATATTTTCAACTTTAGTCAGGTGGTAAATGGAGCATGGTCGTAAGAGACAGACGGGTTGTTTTTTGTGCAATTGGATCATTGTTCAAAGATGACAGAATGGGCTGGGTTTGGTGGAAGTTATTAGAATGGTTGGCATTAATTTACAGCTGATATTTTAGCGGCAACGGAGGACAACCTGTTTATACCAATACACCCGTTTGTACCAATGCACCCGTTTTTACCAATACACCTGTTTGTACCAATACACCTGTTTGTTTTTGCCAATACACCTGTTTGTTTGTACCAATACACCTGTTTGAGCCAATTCACCCATTTGTACCAACACACCCGTTTGAACTAATTCAACCGTCTTTACTAATACACCCGATTGTACCAATACACCTATTTGTACCAATACACCCGCTTATACCAATACACCCGTTTGCACCCGATTGTACCAAAACATCAAGATTGTACCAATACACTCGTTTGTACCAGTACTATTTTTACCAATACACCTGTTTGTAAAAATACATATGCATATACCAATACATCTGTTAATACCAATATACCTGTTTGTACCGATTGACATATTTGTACCAACACACCTATTTGGACACACCTAGTGTCTCATTTGTATTTACTTAGTTTACATGTTTTAATAATTGTAAAGCGCTTAGAGCTTTATGATAAGCGCTATATAAAAATGCCTAAATAAATAAATAAATTTGGACCAATACAAAAGTTTGTACCAATACACCTGTTTAGGGTTAGAGGTTGATTGAGACTTGCAGATGATGATTGGGATTCAAAAAGATCGAAGCCATAAGGCCTTACCATGGATTAATACGCACCCCCCCCTCCTGGTCTACAACATCAATTATATCTGCCCTAGGGTTCTGCTGTGCCAAGATTTCTTTGGGTTGTATTCCATTCGGATTCAAGTAGCCATATTATAAGAGCAAGTGGTCTTTTTTCTGATGTCTGCTGTTTAATTTAGAGCAAAACTTTTTGAGGAAGTTAATCCAGCATAAGTATATTTAGACTAAGGGCTGAACTCTTGACACGTGGGTGACCAAAATAGACCTGCTGGTACTTTGTCTTCACCAGATGAGGCGACACATAGTAAAAATACTGGGCAACAATCCATTTAATTTTGAGACAACTGAATCTCGGACGCGGCGAATGAAGCCGTTAATATATCCCTCAATCCACAAGTAAAAACCATGTTTAAATCAATATTGAGACATCTAGAACAATGAAATAAGAAGTCAACAATGAAATAAGAAGTCAACAATGAAATAAGTCAACAATGAAATAAGTCAACAATGGAAAATGAACATGAAAGACAATTTGTTTATTTAAAAAAACAAAACAACAGATGCATCCATTTGGGACAGTGTCGGAACCAGGATGTTGGCAACTTGAACCATCAAACCTAAATATTTGGTCATTTTATTAATCTATAAGAGCCGTGAAAGATTTTTTGAAAGAGACACTTTACTTAATTTATAGGGCCTTACTATTTTTCCCCCAGAAAAAGAGTATAATTTACTTGGAATAAGACTAGCAGTCAATTTCGTGTAGCTAGCGGGTCCCAACAGTCATTTTTTATCCAAATCAAGTGATAGTTTTTAGTAGCTTGAACATGCCGTCATTTTTTGTAAGGGGGGGAGGGGTGTCATGGGGGGATTTTTTTTCCATTACTTTCCTCTGCACTGTGTTTAATCTCCACATAACAGTCGGATAGATCATAGATGGAAACTTCAAGAAAGAGAAAAAAAATAATGGACAAAAAAATCAAACAATTGAATGTTACATTTCTGAATGGTTAGTATTGGTTATAAACAAGTTATTTAAAAAGTGTATTGTCTTTAGAGCAACTATTTTAATAAATTCATTTTCCTATTCACCTTCACAAAATATCAGCCAAATTGAGGACAGTATGTCACTAGCAATGTTCCCTCTAAGGTTTGTTGGTTCGTGTGCAAAATCATACAGTTGGGTGCACAGTCTTACAGCATCAATTTTTGTGTGTGCAAAATGTTACAGCCCAAAAACACAGCTTAAAGGGAACATTGGTCACTAGTGACAAGCTTCCTCTTGCTTCAATATCATGAATTGTTCACTAACAATCTTATTTGTTTATATTAAATCTTTTTATCTTTATAACTTAGTTGTTTTTTTCTTTCAAACTTTGAATCTTATAATAAATGAACAAATAAGACCTGAACATTGCCTTACCAGCAACTTTAAAAAATTCCTAAGTTCGGGGGGTGCATTCTATCTTAAAATAGCCCTGCACGTACAAGAGAAGATTTATAAACCAACAGCAGTAGAGATATTTTCTTACATTAAATAATTTAAAAACACAAACTTGCAAGAAACTTAAAGTGTGAATGATAAAACATTAACATTTTGCTCAGTTGAAATTGGAAAAAAAAAAAAAAAAAAGGTAATTGTAAAAGATAAAGCAGATCACTTTGAGCAATCTTGGTGCAGTCTTGGTGCAATCTTGGTGCAGTGCATAAGGAAAGGTCAAAGTGTTAAAATATATCCAATTATAATTATTTGCGGATTAAAAGAAATAAGTCTATTGTAATCTTGGGTCCAAGTGAAAAGGTTAGGAATGAGGATGATAATATAACAACTCTGCTGTTCAGCTTCATGAGATAAATAATTAGTGCGCACAGCTCATTCTTCATTCTTATGTGAGCTGTAGAACTCTTTAAGGAGACTTCCTTCCCATAATAAAATATAGTACAGTTTAACTCTCCTGGCGCTTTATAAATATACAATAAATGTGGTGAAACCCTTTTATTTGTTTCTTTTCACCTGGGGATATTGTCAAGTAGAGTCATACAATTTTGATTGAAAATTAACAAAAAGCCATCCCAAAAATTCATTATATAGAGAGCATTACAAAACCTCACAATTTGCATAGTATATTTTAAAAACTAAAAAAAATCTGGCCAGTTTTGAGTATTATTGTATTTAAAAAAAGGAAACCAAAATCCAGCAAAACAATCCAAAGCTGTTGTTTTTTTTTACCCAAATTTTTGTATGATTAAATGCTAATAGTGTAAGTTCTACTGAGGATTTCGTCATTCCATCATAAAACTAGTTAGGACTTACACAAAATGACTAGGCCATTCAATTAGAAAATCATTGAAATGACAACATCCGTAAAACCCTGATATTGTTACACCATACAATGTGGGTTGAAATATTAACTTGAGCCCAAATTTGAAACAAAGCATCTTACATGATTTAAGTTACAATTATAAATTTGAAATACTCAAAGGAGAGTTGGTGACTAATACTTTTTTAAATAAAGGGGCGCGCGGATGGAACAGTCAGTAAAACAAATAACAAGTATTCCGATGGTCTGGGTTTAAATTCCAGTAATCAGGACATTTAGGGCATTAAATACGCACAAATATGCTGAAATAAAAAATTCTGGGCCATCTTGTCGTATAAAATGAAATCAACTTTATAATAGTAATACAGATACTGGTTGAAAACACATTTCGAATAGCCTCTCATGCCACGGGAGTAAAAAGCAGTTAAACAAAATTGGAAGTGAAATTCTATCACATTTACTAACTGGAAAAATTGTATCATTGATTAAAATACAACCACAGTTCTGTTGCTGATCAACAAAATACTATATAAGTTTACAAATAACACATACAAAAAAGACATACATTTTGTTTTTTTAAATTTCATAAATAAATAAATAAAATTGCATAGTTCATTCTTGGTTAATTTTGGCTCCTAGCAGGTGAAACCACATTCATGATACAAACTCATTTTGAAATATTTGTTTCCATTTATAAGATAAGTTTTGTTCTGCTGGCTATGACTAATTTGATAGATTCATTAATATCACTGCTATATGAAAACACACGCATATATTTAGGTTAAATCTGAAATGAGCTAATGGTTAAAATTTTAAGGAATGATAATTTAGGAGGAAGGTATCACAATAAAAATTGCCCTTAAACTTTAAAAACACTAAAAGCATGGAATGTTCCAGTTTTGGGAGCTATGAAATTTAAACAAATTTAGACATTGAAGTTATACAACAAAACTGTAATTACATCTTATTTGTAAATATTTTTTTTTAAAAATCAGAGTACGTCTTTTATAGATACCATTCAATTAAAAAAAAATTTTTTTTTTAAACTGGTATTTAGTTAGAAATATTCACAACAACAAAAAAATACTTTTTCTTATACATATTATTGACTTAATAAAGTAATTTTTAAAACTTGAAATAATAATCATTATTGCACAATTTTGTAAGATACATAAATAATTACATGTATATCTGAAGTTAAATTCAGTACATATGTTTTTCTTTGGTATAAATATAGCCAATTACCGGCAATTATCTGACGTAACTCAAATCTTTTGGATCTTAACAAACAAAAGTAATTTGATTGAATTTAATTTTATAAAACAATTAAAAATAATTTTCTTAAATTATTTTTCTTTACTGAACTGATTTTTAATACTGGTACTAAATTTTAATTTGCAATAACTAAGTAACATCATTAAATATATGAAATTATTGTTTTTTTTTAAACCTTCAATTTAGTTGGATAAAATTATATTATTAAAGCCACTAGTGCTTGGTATACCACAGCAGTGCTGAGCTTGGAGGGAGAATTAATCTTATTTTCGATGACGCACATCAGGAGTCATCTGCAGCTTCAAAACTGAGATCCACACCGAAATTCTCTCGGAAAACATTGTGAGTCTTCGACTTGTGAGGGTTGTCCAGCTCGTCCCTTGGAATGTACAGGCTAGGGAATAGATTAATGCCAATGTAAACATGTCTGATTTGTTGAAGGATATTTTCTATTTTACTATGCAGTAATCAAAGTGTGTCACATTTGTGGCAATGCGGTTTCACTCTGATGGATCAGTATTTAACCTTAGGAGGCTTCAAGCTAAAACCAAGGTCAAACATAACACCATCAATGAGCTTCTGTTTGCAGAAGATTGTGCCCTCAACACTCCCTCAGAAGTCGTCATGCAACACAGCGTTGATATCTTCTCTGAGGCCTGCAATAACTTTGGCCTCACAATCAACACAAAGAAGACTGAGGAGATGTATCAGCCAGCTCTCACCTAGTAAGCCCTACGTTGAACCCAACATCATCATCAATGGACAGCGTCTCAACCCGGTGGATAAATTTACTTACTTGGGCAGCACCCTCTCTAGATCTGTCGCCATGGATGATGAAATGAATGGCAGACTCGCAAAAGCTTGTGCCATATTTGGCAGGCTCTGCAGCACTGTTTGGGACAGGAGAGGTATCAGACGAGAAACGAAAATCAAGGTCTATAGCGCAGCAGTCCTCCCGACATTGCTCTACCGATGTGAAACGTGGACAGTCTACTAGCGTCACGCCGAGAAACTGAATCATTTTCACACAACCTGCCTCAGGAAACTCCTCGACATCAGGTGGCAAGACAAAGTCCACGACACTGAGGTCCTCGCTAGAGCAAACCTACCTAGTATCTTCACCACTCTGATGCAGTCTCAGCTCCGTTGGATGGGACACGTAGCCCGTATGGAAGACCACCGGCTCCCGAAATAGATATTCTTCGGAGAACTCACGATAGGCAAGCGCTCTCAAAGAGGTCAAAAAAGCGTTACAAAGACTCACTGAAAGTGGCTCTAAAGGCCTTCAGCATAAACCCTACTCAATGGGTGCAGACAGCCCAGGACAGAGCCAGGTGGAGAGCTTCTGTCAAGAAGGGGGCTAAATCCCATGAAGCTAATAGAATATCCACAGCTGAGACACGCAGGCTTGCCCGAAAGAGCAACATTAGGTCACCGTCTGAAGCAACTATCCCCTGCCCACGGTGCCAAAGATTATTCCGAGCACGGATTGGTCTAGCAAGCCACCTACGAGCTCACCGTCACCCAACCTCCCCCTAACCTTTGGATGACCCGATGGTCCTAGTCGACTTCAATGGACGAACAACAACAACAACCTATTTTTTAAACATATAATCCCAAAAGGAAATCTTTGTTATGTAAACTGAAAAATTTAAATAATTGAAAAATTATGTTTTCGTCAAACATATCAGCAGCTGGTCAAAATAAAAAATAAGTTATAGGTTGGGTGTAGTGGCGGTAGTTGGTGGGGGGAGGGGACATATCAGCGGCTGGTCAAAATAAAAAATAAGTTATAGGTTGGGTGTAGTGGCAGTAGTTGGCGGGGGGAGGGGACATATCAGCGGCTGGTCAAAATAAAAAATAAGTTATAGGTTGGTTGTAGTGGCGGTAGTTGGCGGGGGGAGGGGACATATCAGTGGCTGGTCAAAATAAAAAATAAGTTATAGGTTGGGTGTAGTGGCGGTAGTTGGCGGGGGGGAGGGGACATATCAGCGGCTGGTCAAAATAAAAAATAAGTTATAGGTTGGTTGTAGTGGCGGTAGTTGGCGGGGACCAAATCAACTTTACAGAACCATCAAAGTGTGGGCCTGTCTTTAAAAAAAATTGTCTCTCCAAAACTTTGATATTTATTTAAGTGAAGTAGACAACTGAAGTAATCACTGACTACTTTGATTAAACTGAGAGTGAGACATGCTTGAATTTACTTACTGATTGTCTTCTATGAATGAAGTGTAGAACCAAAAATAGAAATACTTACTGATTGTCTTCTATGAATGAAGTGTAGAACCAAAAATAGAAAGGGCACTTGTCATATCCAATAGGAATCTTTTTCTAAATACAAAAGAATTAAAAGTTGGCAAACTCATACAAGTTTTATTAAACATTATTTGAAAAAAATAATTTCAGCACTAGGATTATTGTGTTGTATGTACAAGGGAAGCTTATCACTAGGGTTATTCTGTTGGGGAAACTTAGTTCTTTAAATTAATTTAATGGCATAATTTATCTAGTGAAATTAGGAAATGGTTATTTTGGCTTAAAGCCGTATGACTCTCTGTGAAGGTCTCTAAGCAACGAAATTTAAAGTTTAAATTTGTTAAATATTTATTTATTTTTTCTTACAGAAATGTCCTGGAATATTTGGCTAATTTCCTAAATAGTAATGACCAATTTCAGGTGATAAGCCTGTGGTAAAACCATTTAAAAAATAAATCCCAACATTACCAAGATATATTTTGAAAAAGGCGTTGACAAAAGCAGCAAATAGAAGAGCAAAATGATAACATTTTTATGAATTAAAAAAGGAAAAATTACATTGTGAGTCTTGAACATTATTTTAATGTCTCCGTGAATGTTCGGGCAATTCTTCAGGTTGATGACAATACTGTCACTGTCAGTGTACTTGAGCACCTGCCGAAGAGGAGAATGAAACTATTAAATCACTAGATTATCCTTGATTAAAGATTTCAAAAGGAACATAAATTCAGGATAAGAAAGGCTGGAAAATAAATTCAGGATAATAAAGACAGGAACATATATTCAGGAAAACAAAGACAGGAACATAATTACAGGGTAACAATGATGGGAACATAAGGACAGGAACATTTAAACATTGATGTTAGAAATAGAATAAAATGTCTTGATTTATAATCTTATGATGTCTATATTTACATACTGATGGTGGTCTTGAAAACAGTTTTAAGTTTAAATGGACTGTTATGCCCCCATTGTGTTCAGTGAATTTGAACAGTCTCCTAAGGTTAAAGCTCGTGGTCTAGGGGATTTGAAAAGGGGGCTAACACAGGTAGATTTTAGACACGCTATTGGCTAAAATAAAGACAATCAGTGCTCTATATCAATGTACTTTATGACATGGAATATAATGTGATACATTATATAAAGAATATAATCTAGACACGCTATTGGCTAAAATAAAGACAATCAGTGCTCTATATCAATGTACTTTATGACATGGAATATAATGTGATACATTATATAAAGAATATAAAGATACATAAAATCTACATATAAAGAAATGAATACTGGTCTAACAGTAACAATATCTAAATTTCACAGTAATATAAACAATACTATCACAAGTCTAAGTTCCTGGAATTACTATTTCTGCTAACTATTGAATGGCCCTATCTAGTACTTAGCAAATGCAACGGAAAGCTAGTTGCGCATCAATATGCTCATCTCGTATATGTCTCCCCAACTGTAGGGGAATACACCCAGTATTTATACTGAACTTCATGTGGCTTGACCTCAAATGTGGGTCAATGTTCGCTTAGATGTTTTTCTGGCCAATGTTCGGATAAAGACACGTCATCCTTCCTGGAAGGTGGTAAACTCATACGGCCAGGTTAATGGGGTACATACAGAAAACGGCCCTACCTTGTAACAGTACTATGTCATAATTTACTATGTGATTAAGAACCAGGGTTGGCTGTAAATATATCGCAAGCATAAGGTAACGATTTCTGAAAATATTGAATTAAGTTACAGCTAACACAGGAATTTAAACAAAATCTTTAAGCATTTGCTAGTTGCCAGGTTGTAAACATTCCACCAATAACAACTAAATTTGGCCTACCACTGTATAACTTTTTAATAGCTTGGGAGTTTCAAATTATTTTCTATTTGTTTTGAATTTCTGTGTCATTAAATTTACATCTTTTTAATTCTTTATTTTCTGAAGCTAGCAGTGAAAGAAATAGCTTTACTTTTACCCAGCAGATATCACTAAATTTTTCTCTATGTAAACGGGTGCTAATATTACCTCACAGTTGACTTGAGTTCCTAAGTTACACTCAAATATCAGAAGACTATCCTGTCGCAGCTCCATAAAGAGGTCAGTGCCATCTCCATTACCCACACCTGTTTATCATAATTTTTTTTTTTTAAAAAGGCATTGATAAATTTGTTTGACTAAACAAGTTTATGTATTTTAAAAATAACATTTAAAAAATAAATCTATATATATTTATTTATTTATTATACTATACAACATAGTACATATTTTCAAAAGCTGTTTTAATTTCAGTTCTTATCTGAAATTAGTTTGGAACACAGAATAATTGTATTGCTATGATTTAAAAAAATAAAGTAACTATCAATTTATGATCACTTACTATTTATTCCTGTAATTTTTATGGATTTAAGTTTTAATACTTTCTTAGGTGGAAGCTGTTTGTTGTAGACATTCTTCAGTTTTTCAAAATACTCCACATATCTGCTCTGTTGTGAAAATTTGATAATTTACTTATGATAGTTTGTGATGTAAATAAGAAAAAGTATAAATTTATGCAGTGGTTCCAAACATGTGCTCCTAAGGGCACTTTGCAGGGCAGCCACGTCTGCTCTAAGAAACTTCTTATCACCATTAGCTTGCAGGCCTAATGGGCTCCTCCACAAAAATTTATTCAAAAAGGGCCCCTTAAGTAAAAAAGAATGGGAACCACTCCAATGATTTATTCATTCTAGTCATGGTTATACCATAAAACAAATTTGAAAAGGACAGCAAAGCCAGTACCATTTAACTATTTGAAAAGTAAGAATTAATAAAAGCAAAAGGCGTTATTTTTGTCAGAGCCATGAGAATCAAATGCTGTTCCAACAGAGGCTCATGTTTCTAATGACTGATACAGACAAAATGGACTTTGTACCTGGCTGGGTGTTTCAACTCCTTGAAATGTACTTCCTTTGCTTAAATCGGTTCTCCTGTCACCAAAGTATTCCAAGCTTTCCTGAATGAATTCATTCGTTTTTTTGTTTTTTAACATCAAATAAAGAGAGCATATAGAAATAAGGGAAACGCATGGCAACTGAATTAATTTTTAAAAATTTCTTAGAGGCTAGTTGTGTAATTACTATAAGCTATAGGCATTTAAATTCTGAAACTGAATGTCGCAATTTTTACGAGAAAAACATAATTTTAGTAAAATTGACATAGTTGGTGTCAGAAATTCACTGAGTATTATTTAAAATCATTGTTAATTTTGAAGATTAATAACGCAGTTAAGCTAGACAAACCAACATTTTAACCCAGAACATTAAAAATTGTGTTTCCATTTCCTAATTTCTTAGTCCTCCTCAAATTCATTTTTTGTTATTGTGAACAAATTGATTGAGATCATGGCTGAGTTGGTAGCAACTTGAAACTTTTAAATTTCTTACCTGTGCACTCTCTAACAAACCACAGTCAATTAGCCATGTGCATATTAAGGTACCCGTTCGTCCTTTCCCTCCCTTGCAGTGAATGGCAATCACATTTTGCTTGTCCATGGCCATCCATTCTCTGGCATTAGCAGTGAAGTCCAGCATTTCTCTGATGACAAATTTCAATGTGTTAATCTAATCACATGAAATTTTTTAGGGAATAAAGTAGAATTTTGAATACAATCTCTTTTTTAATAATCAATGAAACAACAATTAATAAGCCAAGGTTTTAGAGTTTGATGAATACTCTTGAATGGAATATTGAAGATATTTTTTATACTCTTTTAAATAGAATATTCTTTTTCTTTTATTTATTAAACAAAAATAGAATGGAGCATTTTTTTCCATGAATTTTAAATTAAATTAGTCGTTATTTTCAATTGAACCCTTTTTAAAATTGAGACACCACTTTACATTGCTTGGATCAATAAATTAAATAATAAAGAATATGGATGACTAACAAACAAAAAAATTACAAAAAGAATTAGTTGAAATATAAAAAGAAAGTTTCAGGAAATGTGTTTTACCTCAATTTCGGCACATTGTGATCATCTATGTACACTCTTTCAACATTGTTGAAAAACAAATTTTCATTATAATCCCGCTCACCTATTAAAAAACATGAACATGTCATACCGGTATTAGTCAATGATTGGACAAAATAATTTTTTGTAACCATTTAAAACACTTTGTGCTAAACAATGATAACATTCATTACAAAAATTCAACGCAAAATCAGAGGTGGTTAACACTTTCTGATATTTGTATTAGATGAGGTGCAGTTAACATAATCTTAGAAAATATATTTTTTCAACAATTCCTTTTAAATCACAAACAACTTTAAAAAATAAATAATAGAAACAGCCAATGAATTTAACTGTAATTAAACTTTATCTACTTACTACAAAGATTGTATATCCTATAATGTCCTTTATGTTTTGTGTTGAAGAAACGTGCTACTTCCTAAAATTAAAAAACAATTCAAAACATAAATGTAACAGAAAAAATAAAATGTATAATTTGTCTCTTATGCATTTTATAATTTAATTTAATTTTTTTTAAAATTTGATACTGAGAAAATAAAAATACTTCCTTCATTAGAAATTAATATTTTTGTATTCTGGGGGGGTGGGGGGGGGGGGTGTCACATGGCTTATTGTATTTGTCCTATTATTTACCCCTCAACTATATAGAAAAGGATTTGTTTTAATATTACAGTAGATATTTTCTTCATTAGAAATTAATATTTTTGTATTCTGGGGGGGTGGGGGGGGGGGGTGTCACATGGCTTATTGTATTTGTCCTATTATTTACCACTCAAATATATAGAAAAGGATTTGATTTAATATTACAGTAGATATTTGCTCTGTTCCATCATGAGTCAAAAACTATCCCCACTCTCCCCTTTTAAATGGAAAAAGCCTGAAAAGTGCAAAACTTGCTCAAAAGCCAGCCCAATAGAACAATAAGCCAGTGTAAGCAATACTGTACACAAGAATATTTAAGACGAGGCGAAAAACCCAGCGTTTACGCATATTGTAATCAACTTTCATTATTTACTTATCAGTATGTAGGACGCATGGTCAAGCCATCCACTTTTGATAACTTTCTTGAGTTAATATTTGAAGCGAAACTTATTCCCCAGAAATATTATTTTAAGAAAGTCGGCTTCAGGACAAGCATATATGGTGTGCGTTATGGTCATGTGCTACTCAGAGATTTAAAAAAGATTTGTCTTTTTATGTTGCAGGACTAAACCTCTTCCTTCAAGAGATAAGAAATTCAGTAACTGTTTTTATACACTCATAGTTTGAGTCAATAATCTGATAAACAGGAAAATTAATTATTGACAAATGTTTGTGGTAGCTGAGAGCTGAGGTAGAAAAACAAAACTAATTGAGGTACAAAAAAATTAAACTTACTGCTACTGGATTACGATAGAGGGCCATCATTCCTTTGGAGGGGAACGACATAGCAATGACTCTCTCTAAAATAAATTTTAAAAAAGATTATGACTGCAGTAATCAAAACTACATGAGTTTTTAGCCATTAGTGTAAATTGACACTGATTAATATAATTATCAATCAATGCCTTCTATGGCATTCCATATCACAGAATGTTAAAATAATGCAGAGACATAAAGAATATCAAAACTCAATCCATTGAAGTATATTCTTCCGTGCGTAAAGCACATTATGCAAAAATGAAAAAAAAAAAAAAAAAAATGAGCCTAATTAGTCATAATGAAAAGCCACTTTTGTATTGGTAAGGTGTAAAAGCTTTTAAAAACCAATTTAATTGCATAATTAACAAATTAAATCTGAATGATATTTTCATTCATCCCAATAATACTTTTTAACAGAAACAATTGATGTTAAATAGAATAGTAATTAAAATAATGCGGCTCAAATTTCAAGGGCTCTGTTATCAAATACTTTGAAATATTATTAATAAAAGATCGTCACAATACCTGTGATGTAGCAGAGATCAAGATCAAATCCATCCCTCTGGTAGCGTCTTTTGTTTTGTGACACCATTTGCCGTGTTGCTCTTGCCACTTGTCGGTGCTGCACAACCATGATGTATACTATTCGTACAACTCGTATGGCACGCACGACTCTGCCAATCACTACCAATCTAGAAGAACACATTTTAATTTAATTACCGTATAAGTATAAGCATTCCCTTCCTAGTTTATTTTATACTACCTTCTGTGTATAGTTCAAGCATATAGCTCATCTATTTTAGTTATTATATGGTTTACACATTGTTCATAATTTGTCAAAATGTTACTTAAGTCATTTGTCAAAATGTCACATAAGTCATTTGTCAAAAGTCACATAAGTCATTTGTCAAAATGTCACATAAGTCATTTGTCAAAATGTCACATAAGTCATTTGTCAAAAGTCACATAAGTCATCTGTCAAAAGTCACATAAGTCATTTGTCAAAATGTCACATAAGTCATTTGTCAAAAGTCACATAAGTCATTTGTCAAAATGTCACATAATTCATTTGTCAAAATGTCACATAAGTCATTAAGTCATTTGCTCATAGGAACATAAAGTTAAACCAAGAGCAGACCTGTTTACCCTCAAACTCTTAAAATCGTACAATATCATCACAAAATCGTTCAATACGTTATATTAATAGTAAAAAATAAACATACAGTATATATAAAGTATACACCTCAAAATCATACATTGTACGCCAAAATCGTAAGAGTAAACAGGTCTGCAAGAGCATCCACTGTTTTTTTTTAAAATTATTAATGATTTTGGTTTAAAGTTATTTTATTGTTTGATTATAACAATAAATTGTTTAAGAGAAGACGCTTTATAAAATTATTCTTGCCTCAAAATAATATTGGCATAACCCACAGTTATTTTTTTATTAGTTATGTAATTAGTGTTAGGTTTTAAGGAAATGAGGTTTTATAACTCCATTGCCATTACATTTCATTGCATCCTTATTAAAACTCTTCATTAAAACGCTTTTGCTTTTTTTTAATTACTGCTTAATTTACTTACTGTGCCATTCTGCCCTCACTTGCACAGCCAGAGTCTGATAATGCCAAGAAAACAACATCAACAATAAAAGAAATGAGCACTACTGAGAAATCAAGAGCATCCAAAATGTTGTAGAAAAATCTTTTCCTGTAAAAGAAGAAAGTACACATCTTAATCTTTTCACCTATGGTCAGATGTCCCCATAAATTCACTGGATGAGAGCAGGGGCCACTGAGAGGCTCATGTCTTTCCTAGAGGTTTCCTTGTAAGAATTAATGACATCATCATTGCCAAGTTTATGTATTAAGTCTAGCTAAAATTTATTTATGTTTTTTTGTCCTATGGTACTTTTACTATGGTATTGTCCTTAGTACAATGTGAAAGGGGACACCATGTCAATGAAAATGGGTACCCTATTTTATAAATATTCAGTTTATGCTTTACAAAAATTTCACCTATTATATATTTTTGTTACATTATGAGGTTTGGAGAGGAGAGGAGGTCATGTGCCCAGATTCCTCCATATATATTCACAAGTTGTATTGAAAACATGCATAAAATTAACTTCAAGTAGGGCCTACTGGTTATTAAAATAAGTTAATAAAAGTGATAATGTAATGAAATGTAGCATTTTTTAAAAACAAATTATCTCACAAAAAGTGAGTTAGAAGCAACAATACTATCGAATTTTTTAAATTATCCCATCTTTCACATAAATTGTCAAAACACAATTTACCCTTGAATGAAAATACGAGCAGCAATCTCAACAATGAAGTAACATATGATGACATGGGATGTGATTTCAAGTGGCTCATCATTACTTGCACATTCATACAGAGACAGGTCTATAATGACCAGGATGAAATCAAGGAGAATCAAAATGACTGTAAATGCTCGGAAGTAAAAGTTTTCCACAATTAGTTGCACGTTAGCTTGTGCCTGTCTGCGATAAAAATTGAGAGAAAATGTTTTTTTAATTAAGAGCTTTGTACAATAAAGTAATAGCCTTTTTAATAAAAGAACGCTATTAACAATAATAAATAATTTTTTTTAAAAATGTTTTTTAGTTCTTTTTTAAAAATTACTATTTCAAAATATTTGCTCCCTTCTTTTAAAATACTTACTGTAAGCCAGTTTTAGGGGCATATGGATCTCCTGCAGGATCTGAAATATATGCAGATTCTTTGTTGTCAAGGCCAAAAATCATTACTTTTCCATCGTTCTCAATTTGAATATGACTATCTTTGATGATTCCATCTCCATTTTGTCCTTCAGGGCTTTTGGTTGTGCCCCCCGGCAGTATATGTGTATTTTGATCAAATCGCTCATAAGATGCCATTGCAATACCAGCGACTAGTGCATCAAGTGTTGGAGTTGATGAATGATATTCTGAGAGACTTTGCCCCTTTTTACCAGTCCATCTAACTTTTCCGTCTCCTATAAAATTAAAAATATAATATTAATTCTAGTTCACATAAACAATAATTATAAAGGTTATTTTTGGTCTTCATATATATTTGTAAAATAAATGATAAAAATAGTTTTAAAATTTATTATTAATGTCTAGAAAATTAACTTAAAGAGGAACATTTCATTTAACTAGAGTATACATATTAATTTAAATCAAGTATATAGGATTATAGGTATAGACAAAAAGTAAAAGATACATAGGCATATCTTAAATTTTAATCTAGAGAGATTTTAGCTATGCTAATTCATAACAAAAACATCCCAATAACAATAATAACAATAATAAATTTGAAAATGAATCACACAAAATTTTTCAAAATATTATTTGTATATAAATAAATAAAGCCTGTAAATTTTGACTACGATTGCCACTATTTTCTCAATGGCCGCCATCTTGGTTAACACGTCACATGAAGTCATCTATCCCTATGCCTAACCTGAAACCCTAAATCGATCCCTATGCCTAACATGAACCCTAAATTAAATCGATCCCTAAAATAATTTAGTAAAAATAAACAAAGGTAAGTCACTCCCTGGAAAATAAGTCGTGGTAATCGTAACTAGGATTAGCCGATTTTTTAAAAAATATGCTCAAATTAGACTAGAGTCATATACATTTTATTTATTTATAAAGAAAATAGTAAGATTGAACAATAAATTAATTATTAACTATTCTTAAATTGCTTAGGCTCTTATTAGTATTAGTCTTAGCCTGACCTCATAATAAGTTCCAAACAAAAGCATATTTTTTATATCTTAACTGTCTTAACCTTAGTTAGTTGAAAATTAACTCCTAATCATCACCCACCTTTTGAAATATTTTGTTATAATAGCAATAATAATATTCTAGTACTGGCGAAAAATCTGATTAATAATCATAACAAAATTAGCCTTGGCCTTGAGCCTAGATGACACTGATGAATGAAAAATGAACATAAAAGTTGTATTTTTATTTTTTAAAAATTCTGTTAACTTCTTAAGTCTTAAACTTAAGTAGTTAAAGTATTTAAATTTGATAACTTGAATGAGAAAATGTGAAGCTTATCTCAGTCCTCATACTGTCATACTTACACTAGTTATACTGTTGCTATGTTTTGCCTGCGTTGGTTAAACTCCTTGAAATATCATCAAAGTAATAAAAATTGGCTACTACTAATACTACTATTACTACTACTATTTCAGAATAATTTCAATAAAAACAAAGTCGACCACTACTCGACCAAAGTCGTTTAGACTTTCACTTTACTAAAACTAAAACTCATCGAGGCATTATTAATAAGATTGGGTCATACGATTAAATGAGGCTGGATCAGTCAATACCGAACTTGATCATACTATATATAAAAATAAGTAATATTATTGAATAATTACTGCATGACAATGGCCCCAATGAAGTGACAAAGTTATAGTAAAAAGGGGGCGTTTCCAGATGGCGACGAACAGTCCGGGACACAGGCCAAATTTGTATATTAAAATATTTAATTCTGAGATTTTACTTTGAATCGTTAAATTATTTTTAAGTTTTTTTTTTTTTAAATTAAAATATACATGCATGTGAGTAGACCCGATTTCTTTTAAATTGGCAAGTACTTTTGTTAACCTCTTAAGTCTTAACCTTTCACCTGTTTTCGTTTACATTGTAACAATGGCAGACATTGGTTCTTTTTTTTCCCCTAGTAAATACATTACTATTTTAATTCGAATCTTTATGTATATTTCATTGCCATTGTTATAGAAAACTATTTAAAAATCCTATAAATCGTGGTTTACATATTGTATAATTTTAAATAAATTGTGCAAAGTTTTAAAAAAAATTCCATGTTATTGAAATAAAAAGTAAGCATGCTCGTGAGAGACAACTTGGTTTACATCTTCCAAAGGAAATACTTTAACTAGATTACACTTAGACCAAAATAAAATAACGCAGAAGTGGACAATTTGAATTATCTATTGGGAAATAAAATAGGACCGGAACTATTTAGCTACTTGAATGCTGCAATTAAATATTAATTTAAAATTAGGTTTGGGCTTTAATATATAAATAATATAATGTTTATCATTATCAGCCAGTTGAAAAATTATTTAAATGTTTCGTTGTTTTTCTTACGATGACCTATTCAATGTACATAATAATAATATATTTGATTTGAAACATTCATTAAGTAGGCTATAAATGCCTTATTTTAAAAAGCACAATGCCCGTATCATTTTAAATGATTGATATCATTTAAAATGTGACGTATATCTTGATAAATAGATATTTGTAAATTATAATTTCATTTTAAATTGCACGTTTTTTGTTTTCAGTGGTTATCTGCCACTGACGTTATACTCCGAAATTTTTAGACGGAATCGTCCCTTTTTTTTTAGGCCAATGAAATAATTTGTAACATTTGTATGATTCAAAATGGCCGATAAACAAACGTATACACTGTGTTCAATTATGTGACAAGCGATGCTACGCCGTTTTAAAACATTTTATTATTTATCGTTTTGACTTTGGAATCACAAGTGTATGTGGCTAATTTTAAAATTATACTGGAACGACGGTTATAAGAGACTGCTTTAGTTTTAAAAACTCATAGACACTCGCTGAGAGACGAGTCACTCACACACAACAGTACAGTACAATCACTCACACATCACTCTGCGGTGCTGTGTAGTGAGTCAGTGAGTGCTGTCCTCGATCATTAGTTAATGCTACATACGAGACTGCAGTGTTGAACTGGAGTTGGCAACGAGGAGGAACTCAAATATTCACAGTTTAATAATGTGAGTCAGACTTTAAGTCAAGTCATTACAAATAACAATACTTATTTGTCTTTTAATAAGTGTTAAGTCAAATAATTGTAATAATTTTAATTTTAGTAATGAAAAAAGTTATTTCTATAAGAAAGTCAACTATGATTTTAAAAAAATGCCATTTGACTTGGATTGAATTTATTGCACTATAAATACTATAATTAGAGATTACCTACAAAATTCACACATTTTAAATTTAGTTTTTCTTGTCTTAATTACTTAAACTTAGACTTAATAAGAACCGTAGCCGCCTTATTTTTATGGCCTTAGCCTTAGCCTTTATCATGCCTAATGCCCAGTGCCTAATAGGTTATAATATGAACTATGAACTGAACTGATCAGTGAATTATGACAGTATCGAAAGTGAAAGGGACAAAACTCTCTCAACATATTTTCTAAAATGATTAAATTCCTTGATCCAGCAAATATTTTTTTTCCCCGTTAAAATAACAAGGTCAGAGTGAATCCCGTAGTGACACTGTTAGAATTAGAGAGACAGAGGCTATTTCTTAATAAGTCTTTTATTTTTAATTAGTCTAATTCACTGAATTCAGGGGTCCTCAAACAATGTCCTGCAGGCCAGATCAGGCTCACCTAGATGGAAGTGCGACTATATACCTCTACAAGGTTCATGTCATTAGGAACTTTATTAGTAGGGCTGTAAAAATTATTAAAAACACCTGCTCTGGTACACATTGACCCATGGAACCGCTACTTGAAAACCCAACCATGGTCACTGCCACATCTGTATTATTAATAAGCTCACCAGATTTTCTGAATGCTAAGAACGGACAAAAAGGCTTGCCTTTTTTGGACCCCCCCACCCACAAACACAAACTCATACACACAAGAAACTTTTAGCCCCCACCCACATAAAAACACAAAAGAAATTAAATAATTTAATAGATAATTGTGACGTCACAGGAATTTTAAAAAATGTGTCGCAGGTTTATACCACCAACAGTTTGGCCAGCCCAGTGGTCCCCATAACATGCTCTGGGTGCCATGTTGCCCTCACAGAGCCATGAGCACAGCATGCACCAAAATCTTCTTTAGATAGGATTTTAATAGTGAATTTAAATATCAAATCCCATATACTTCAGAAAGACGGGGGGGGGGCAAAAATCATATTTTTTACTGATCCGCCAGGAGGGGGACCTTTTCTATATATTAAGTGGCTCTATTTTCCTGCTTCGCCCTAGGTGCAGTATTTCCTCCGCAGCAAACTAACAACAGTAAAAACAGAATAAAATAAAAATAGCACTTAACGTGAAAAGTAGTATTCTGTCTTTATGTTGCTTACTTTCAGTTTCCACTTTTCACAGTATTTAGTAAGCATAATCAATCCTTAAGACGCCTTGCACTTGAAACTGAAAGTAAGCAACATCAAGACAGTATACTCTGTTCTCATAAACGCCATAAGGTAGCCAAATTGAACCTTACACTATCCCTACAAGGCAACATACTCCAAAAAAAAGATTTGGAGATAACCCAATATTTAAGTGTCCATTTAGATAGGCAACCCAATTTAAAAAAACATGTTCAAAACTTGAAAGACGATTCAACAAGATGGCTAAATCTTGTTAAAAGGCTAGCCAGGTTCTCATGGGGTAGTGGCAAGACCACAAAGTGCCAGTTGTACATAGGATATGTGCGATCAGTAATGGATTACAGCTTTGCAGCAAGATAGTAAAGGACTCTCTAAGAAATCCATATATACACATATTGATCAGTTTTCAAAGGAGCAATTTATTCTGGCTATGGTGTACAAATAGAGTACCCAGATCATGTGTGCTATTGAAGCAGCATTACACCACCTATCTGGAATCTTCACAGTTTATCCCATCAAACACAGTAATGTTGTGATCTTCTCCATTTGAAAATCAATATTTCAGGCAGCTGAGCATCAAGATCTCGCAATGGTAAAATCACTATCTCTGAAAATAAAAACCTTCCTCAAAACCTCTGCAGTCAAGCTAACCTTACAATGGGTACCAGGACACCAGAAAATGAAAGAGCAGAAACTAGCGAAACAGGAAGTATCCAATGAACAGCCAACATACCTCCGGCACTCAACAGTGCGAAGCATATTGTCAGAGCTAACAAAAAAAGAAGAGTTGCTAAATGGATAGGCTATGGGCTCAACATGCACATGTGTTTTCACTCACATGCCCAGACCCTATAGATCCAGCAAACTGCCTCCAAAGACACAGATGGGTCATAAATGTTCACTCACATGCCCAGACCCTATAGATAATAATTATAATAATAAGTGGTCTTATGTAGTGCGTTACCCCAGACTAGGGCTGGGCTCACTGCGCTGTACATAAAAATATTATCAAAAGAGACATAATCATGACATTAAAATAAAATACATTTATGAAATAAAGAACAGCAAAAAATGTATATTCATCCACCCCATCCCCTAACTTTTACAACCATGGACGGATCATAAATGTTCACAGGACAAAAACAAGTGAATTCTCACCTTCACTGCAACAAACTAGAAAAAACACCAATATTTGATTTAATACTTATATAGCGCGAAGTATCAATGCTATTTTAGCATGCTCACTGCGCTCTCAGTGATGGCATCCAGGGGTGTCGCAAGGGTTTTCGGAATGATTCATTCTTTCGATGTTTGCCGCCTGTAGGGGACGCCATCTCCGGGTTTGAATTTAGAGTTTCCATCTCTTAGATGAGTTGACAACCAAGGTTAACGACTCCCATCTACCCAGGGTGCTGGTGAGATTTTTGCTTGACTGGGCTTTGGCTGGAATTGAACTCCCGACCATGTTGAGATTTTCTCAGTTTAGACCTCTCGGCCTACCGCTGACTGTCAGTCGCTTGTGAACCGGAGACTCTGGCTCTGGCTGGAATTGAACTCCAGACCACCAACTTGAGATTTGCTCAGCTTAGAGCACTCGGCCACCCAGCACTCCGAGGTGCCCTCTGAGCAAACATCCAAATGAGACAGTAACACATCACCTCTTCCACTGTCCAGGTATTCAAGACTGACGCCTAAACTACCAAAAATATCATACTGCTCAAACACCCAAAATACCAATAAAGAACAGCAGCGGAGAGTGCGTAAATTCTTAACCATGACCAAAGGACGCATGCCCAAATGGCTACTGGATCTGAATGATGATATGTTTCATATATATCTTCTGCTATAAGATCATCTCTATTACTTTCTGCATTTAATTTCAATAAATTCTACATCAATCTAGTAAACTTCTCATGTTATCATAGATGAGCTTGGTAAGATACGCTGATCTTTGAACTCTCATAACTTTTTTACAAAAGAAGTTACAAATAGTTTTGTTTTTTTTTTTTTTTTTTAAAAAAAAAAAACACATCATTCTCACAAGACCAGCAGTCAATTTGTGAAGGCAAAGGTATGGTTGTTTATTTGCTAGGTTCCTGTCAAGCTATCGAGCTGAAACAATCAGTTTTTCCTGTTTTTTAAGGGGAACATGAAGGAAAATTCCTGATAACTGCGCTAAATGAGATGCTTTAAAAATTCTATCGCATGTGCGTTTGCTGCATATTTTTTTCTTTCAATTTTCTGAAATAGTTGGTGAAATAAATATGCTGTGTTAAAGGGGGTAGGTCATTAAAA